AACTGACAAAATGCTACAGTGTTTAGGATGCTTGGTTGTCAGTAAAAACAGGCAACATAGGGACATGATATCTGCAGTCTTTACATGACATGATATAAAATGATGGTCAGCACTGAACCTTGACTACTTGACATTAACAGTGTTAATTTATATGTAGAAATCTGCCCACTACAGCTATGATTCAGGTCATTTGTTGAAATATCAACATGGAGTACAAAGCAATATATAGAAGTTGAAGCCGATGCAGCTACAAAGACACATGAAACTCAACCTTTTGCACTGATGGCTATGGACAGTGGGACTTATTTTTGTCATCCTGCTCTAGATCTCCTTTTAAAAGGAGGTGTTTATCAGGAAACTATCCCACACAAATATTCTTTAGACACTCAAATGTCTGTTGTCATTCTTTTTCAATGCTTTCACATATCTTACAGGAAATGATAAGAAAAAAAAAACCAAATAGATGAGCCAGTGGCTCACAGAATATCATGATGTGTAGTTGCTTTTCTAAATCAAGTCAGCATTTCTATCCATCCATTCTTAGTGTTTTCATGAAATCAGCATCCATAGTTTCCACCAATTTTTTTTTCCCATTCTGCTCTGCTTGTATTTTAGGCTCTTCTCCTTCAGTTAAAGCAGTCTCCTTGAAATGACAAAATAAAAAATTTCAATCAAATAAGTTTAGGAATTAACATGATTTTTGTCTCTGTTTGTGGGTCATAACCCTTTTCCTTATTTTATCCATCTCTTACTAAGACTGAAAGTCCTTTGGAGAAGATCCATTTGTTATTTTGTGCAGTGTCCAGAACATATAGTTCACATTTTTACCTCACCCTCTGCTAACAAATAACTAATCATAGGAAATAATGTGAAAATGGTTATGTTAAGCTATCAGAGTAGATTCAAGGCTAAAACTACTCTGAGCTGACCCAGATGTATTTTCTTAAGGAATATTCAGGTTTGCATTTGCTTTAGGACACTTGTATTTACCTGACCCTCTTGTGGAGCAGTGGCTGAGGAGGTAAATTGCCATCCTTCACTTTTTTTGTTGTTCTAATATCCAACTTCTCTTCTGGAGAACGGGATTCACCTACATGGCTCTATCTGTATAAGAGATAAATATCAAGAACTGCATCCTCTGCAGTAGACAGGGAGAGATGGACATGTCCAGAAGATGATTCAATCATTCTCACTTAAGCATCTACTTTAGGATGCAACAAATTTCTTTTAGAGACACCTAGCTCACTCTTTAAATCAGAAACCTATTTGACTGAAAATAACTGTTTATAATTTTATTCTAGTGTTATTTTCTCCCAGTAGCCAATTTTTTTCCCTCATTTCTAGACTGGTATAAAAAACGTGCATTAAATTAGACAAATATTTTTTTGATAATTTCTCTAAATATTTATATTAAACTTAAATTTCAGTGGTTCTTTGATACAAAATAATGTTTGTGTGAGAAGAAATTATATGTACTTTCCAGAAAATGTTGATTTTGCTGACTTTTTTTATTGCCTGGATAAATAATCATGTTTTTGCTAAATATCTGTAAAATTTGATCTTTAACATACGTAGTGTTGTTTTAAAATTGGCTGGTGACAGAAAATACTTTCAAAATAAACTTATCTGACTTTTTTTACTGATCCACTTTCTCCTTCCCAGACTTCATGGTGGGAAGCATCATCCTTCTCAGTCACCCTAATACTGATTAAAATTAGCAAGAAGCAGTTCTGACCTATTGATTGCAAAAAGAAAACAAATTAAGAGATATTCTGTCTGCTAGGTGTTAGGGTTGGTAGTATTGATAATACAAGTAAGGAAATTAATTTTTAAATTTAAAACCCAGCTTATGAAAGAAAAATAAAGACAAAAGTTCAGACAGTAAAACAATAGGGACAACAGATCTTTCCATTAAGTATTAGATAGAAAAGAAAGGTGAAAGAAGAGAAAGGGAGAAGAGCAACAGGAAAACTAATAGAAAAGCAAATCCAATGTGCCCGCATTGATTTTTGTGATTACTGTTTATTAAAATGCGGTGGATACAGATTATCTTTCTTTCAAATGCTCAGTATTTATTATTGCTTCATTTGCCTTGAAATGATAACTGCAGGCACTTAAATAAATGGATTCCAACATTTTCTATTTTCATTCTACCCTCCTTGTCTGTGATAAGTACCCCTGTAGAAATGGTATTTTGAAACTTCTTTAAGCAATGTTTCTCTGTTAATCACAAGGCCTTTTTTTGTATGTCTTCTGCATGTACTGTCTTCATTTTCCCTTTTATTCTAATGGTTGGACAATAGTATTAAAAATTGCTGCACTTTTGGAAGTAAATTTTATTTTTATTTGCCAGTAGAGGTGTATCTTTAAACTCTGTACGCTGAATTTCTAGACCAACTGTGATAGAGATGGATATACACTAAAATTCTAAGAAATTTTACAGAATGACATTTATGTAGTATGAGAATCCAGGCTTCCCTCACTGCATTACACAATTGCATCTTCAGAAGGTTATGTGCCTTCTAAACAGTGTTATTATAAACGAGAATTTTTAGTTCCAGCTTTGTCTTGCAGCTCTCAGAAAAGTACTTCACTGCAGTCTCTGGATATGGGCTAGAAATACACATTTTTTCTGCAGGCTCCTGGTCAGTTTTTACAGCCACTGTTGAGCTCTGTATGACAAAACACTAATTATACACCCGCCAGTCAATTAAAAACTTGCTTAGATATGTCTTTGAGAGGCATTATGACACAGGTATTACCAATAGGATCAGGATCATCTCTGTTGGATAAGGAGTGTTGGCATTAATTCTTTATTAACAACAATACAAATTTGCAATCCAGCACCTGTGGTGTCAGAATTGTTCTCTTCCATATGGACAGCTGGTTTTTGTTTCAAGTGGTTCTGGAATACTGAATGCTGCTGCTGCTGAAGTACTTTCAATCAGCCAAATGCTGTCCTAAGTCCAGCAAGAAAACCTTACAGTGAAATTTGTCTCTTTCTAATCACAATTTCAATATTATAATCGCTTGCCAACAAGAGATAAAAGATTTTTAGCAGTAATCTCCTACTTGCTGAGTTATTATGATCTGTATTTTTGGTATTTATTATATTTTTTTATTTCTAATAAAATATTCTTATTTATTTATTTACTTACATTTACTTAAAACACTCTTTTCAGTCCTTATAGTTTGAAATGTGTTTTTCCTTACATGTTCCCACCTTAATGACTTAAAATTTAAGTCAGTAATGTAGTTAAACTACTTCTCTGAAGGTTTGAAAAGCACTGAGGAATGCCTGATGGATGCACTAACCACCAAACTTTGATATATGAATTAAGTTCGAGAGATCTCCAAAACAAACACAAAAGCCATTTGCATTAATTTCAGCGTGAGCTGTCACGCTTACAAAGTTTTCATGGCAGCAGTGTTGAATTCTGTTGAAATGGTAATTTCATAATTCTCAGAGATGGTACACACATTACTCAAAAAAAGCATAACGACACTCTGCAGTGCCTTTATTAGACAGGAGTAGTTATGTTATGCTACTGAGTAGTTTGTCCTCTTTTCTTTCAACTGAGAAGGAAAGGAAAACAAAAAGACAGAATCCACAGTGGAAGAAGGAGCACAATTATGGTGCAGGCCTTCTGAGTGGTCTTTCTGCTTAGTTGTTCATGCCATCTCCTATTCTGTGAACGCTGCCTAGAGCAGTGCCTCTCTTATTGAATTCCAGCTCCGATGATTCTGCCGCCTTCTGCTTCCTGCATAGAACATGTAAGCTTGGGCTTTTTTTCCTACATTTTTTCAGTAGTTCAGGATATCCTTTATCAACAATGTTTAAAACTGAAGCCCCCAGTTCACAGGACAGTCTGGTTAGATCAATACTTCTAAATAAAACAAGACAAGGGACCAATACCTATCCCAGCAGACAAACACACTGAAGGCTCTTGTAACTATAGTACTTAGGATGAGCAAATGTGCTGTGTCCACACCATGGAGCACTCTGTTCTGTAGTTCCACCCTTCCTGGTATGGTGTTTCTATTGGTCTACACTAATCCTTGTGCTTTGTATGTCTTGACAGCTTAAACTGTGCGAGGGCTTTGCTGCAGCTCAGTGAAGCGGCTCGTGCTCCCAGAGTAGGAAACTGAAGAAACTGTGTTGTACTCTGTTGATGGGGTGTGAGGGTACTGCTGAGGATGCAAAGTCTCTTGTGGATAAAGCTGAAGAACAATTGTGTAGAGCCCCATATGAGATAGACTTATCCTGGACTGTCTTTTTGAGAGATATCCTTAAGATTGCATATTCCTTCATATCTGCTTGGATATTATTTTGAGGGGAACTTGTTGGAGTAGGCCAGAGCAAAGGTGATCTTGCCACTTCTGAATTACAGGATGACTGGGTGAGCAACACACATGTAAAGTACAGATCTCGGGGTATGTCATATCTTTAACATGGACAGAAACACAACTCCTTCTCACATATGACTGAGAAGAGAAAAGGGGGTATTGCATAAAGTTCATGAAGTCTGATACATATTTGTCAGCTTCACTGACTGCATTAGGCCTATATTCCCCTATACAATTTCCAGGAAAGTGAGAGTAGAGAAATATACCACAGAAAATTATTTCTTTGAATTAACAAAGTTTCGTGAAATTCTGTTATGCTTTGTGGTTTTGAGGAATTTTCTTTTCATTCCAATAGAAATCCAGCCAATCTATTCTGCCCAAATACTTCTGTAAAAAGGTGAAAAAGATCAAGAAAACAAAGGAAGCAGAGGAAATAGCATTGACTCAAAAAGGTCATTGCATTTAACACAGCTTTTTGTGCTGATTTTAAAACCGAGCTAAAAAATTAAACCTACTCAAGATGCTCCCTTTTCCCTCCACCCCTACCCCTTCCAGTAATGGAGGAACACTAGGAAAGAATAAAAGCTGAAACAGAAATTTACTGAAAATTGCAATAATCACAATAATATTAAAAACAAAATGTGTGCAAAAGAGAGAGAGAGAGAGGGTCATTTATAGACAAAAGTGCATTCACCACCGAACAAACAAACATGCTTCCCAATAGGGTGAACAAGTGTTCCTGTGGCTTAACGTCCTCTCCCTTCCCAGTCCAAAAAATCCTACAAGGAACTACGGCAAGCAAAGCCCTTTGAAAGCTACATTATCCCTGCTGCACCACGCCAGTGCCTCAGAGCACTCCACCTCACAGGTCTGGCCGCGCACGGCCGCCTCCGGCAGCACCGCTCCCCTCAGCTCTGCTGGGGCTCAGATCTGTGCGCCTCAGCCCCGCACTGCCATCGCTCTATCTCCCCTTTTCTTCCTTGGAGCGACGTCTCGGGCTCACTGTCAGTCTTCCAAACCACAAAAGACATGGCTTGGAGGAATGGGAAATGGAACCGCCAGTGGAGGTGAGGGACTAGGCCTGCTGGGCCAACCTGAGGCCCTCTCCCTGCAGACCAGGTGAAAAAAGATGCAAACTTTCCTTTTCCAGCCCTAGCTTTTATTCCTGCTGAAAGCACTCCTCCCCCACACTGATGTGAGTGGTATAAAAGAGACTCCACCTGCTTGTTTCTGTACCCAGGAAACCTTTCACTGTTTTAATTTTTATTTTTTTTTCTAGGATTTTATTTCCTTTAAAATAACTTTTTTATTTCTACCTCCTTTCAGAAATTACATGATTTGGTTACAATTGGGTGCCCTTCTTAAAGAGCAGAAATCTTTTCTACAACTCTCAATTGCTTGGGTCTTCTCTTTCTAACACCACATAATTTGTCTTCTCTTAAGCACAAGCCTACTTTTGTAAGAAGCTCTTGAAAACAGACCAAAACCCACAACACACACCTGAAAAGCTTTCCGTGGTATTTGCTGTAAGCAGATGGAATAGTATGCAAGCATCTGAACCACATTTTGAAGATCTCAAAGGTCATTTAAATGAATGAACAATTAAGGTATTTTTATGAGTTTGATTACATCTCTCTTGTGTATGTTTTTGAGGACTGAAGAAGGGGGTCATAAAATATTGCTTCAAAGAAAATTCCTTGGCAATTCTGGGAATGCCATCATAGCATTTACAACAAATCAGTAATGGAGAAGAAGAAAAATGACACTGTAAGTAACTTGAACATAAATTTAACTTAAAACTCATAGTTTATGAGGTTTTCAACCACATAGCTGAATGGTCAAAAAGAAAGAATTAATCCTTATCTAATCCTTATCAGTATTTTTCCTTTGTTTGTGTTCCTGTGTGTAAGTTCCTTGGGGCAGGGAATGTTTGTGTATTGTCTAGCATTGTAATAATTTAGTCTGGATTTACAGCATTTGGGTAATATCTTAAAACAAAAATAATAAACATAGACTAACTTTGATGTAGACACACAGAGACCACTGCTATTTTGCAAAGTTTTTCCAACTTGGGTTGGCTACAATTTTCCCCGAGTTGCAGTAATGTCACAAAATGGGAACAAATGTGGGAATGGCAATGAGAAAGCTTTGAAAATGTGTGTGTATAATATTAAGTACCTGTAGTCCCCACTGAAGGACTCAAATATTTGATGCATGGCATAGCAAAACACTTTACCTAATCCAGAGGGACCATGGAGTTAACCAGAGTTTAATTTCCCACTCTACATCCCTCAGGTAAATGACAGAAGAGTTTGATCATAGGCAGATGAGAAAACATGTTTTGGAATTAGTGTTCTGCAATCAGCTACCATACAATGGGTTTTACCTTAAAATAAAAATGCATTTTCTATGTGTTTTTTGATTAATAATGACTTTTGAACTGTAGTCTTGAATGAGTGAGAATACCTCAAGAGCATTTCTCTGCTTTCCATTAAGTCATTGTACCATGTGGATATACAAACATCAAAATCTGTAATTTTTCATTTTAAGAAATATGTTATAAATGGAAAATATATCTAAGTACCTCAATTTTCTCAGCACTGATTGCTCCTTCCATCCTTGGTTGTAATGAGCATTGCTTTTGATGATTATTAGGATGGCATTTTGCTATTGCCAAGGCATTGGCATGAACACTTTCATGCTTTCATGAATTCTTTTTCTTTTTTTTTTGGTTCGTTGACAGCAGGATTACACTGATTAAATGTATCTGTTCAAAGTAGGTCAGATGAATCCTGCCCTAAATGTGGAGACATTTTCACTGCGAGTACAAAGGATCCTGGGGTGACTGTTAACACTGAAATAAAATCACATGAATCCCAACATTCCTTTCTTTTGAAGAAGAGAAGAAGCACCAATGAATTTTTCCATTTTGCTACAGCATAGTAATTTCTTATGAAAACATTCTTCTCCAGTAAAAGCATACCCACAGACCCAAAGTGTGTTGCAATTTATGCTTTAAAAGTAGTACTACACCGAAGTGTTCTGAAAACATTGTGTAACTACAGGAAGACAGCACATGGACATTACTTTACTGTCACATCTCCTCATATTACTGACTGGAACATTCTTCATATGGACAGAAGTATTCAGCCACACAGGGGTTATCATGCACTTCTGTTTCATTTTTAAATTATATCTTTCTGATATAAAGGCATTACTGTAGTTTCCAGGAGATATTCTTGTCCCTTAAACACAGAACAAAACCCAAAGAGAAACAACAGTCCATTTTTGTTGTGAATTACAGTCTGAGTTGTGGAATTGTGTTCCAAGAGACCTTTTTTTTCTTCTTACCTGCCCAGTGCATACTGAGTACCTATTACACTGATTATGACCTCATATCAGATCAAAAGGAGTCCTGGCATCTGCCTCAAAGAATGCTTACTTTTTTTGCATTGAGCTCTCTTTATTTATCTGGAAATGTTTTCTTTCAACAAAGATTAAAATTCCTAGAGGTGAATTTTTCGTCTTATTTCCTTGAAATAAATGGAAAATTTGAAGCCCAAACTGGACTTAGGAGCTGAAGCAACATGTTTTAAGCCTCCAAATGACATATGAGAGGAATATCAGAATGACAAACTCTCCTTAGGGGTTAGGGTTGTTCTGGTCTTAGGCAGAATCTATTCAACTTTGTTTGAATATTCAAAAAATCATATAAGCTTTTACTGAACTTCCTGCAGAAACACTCATTTGTATCAAATCCTGAAAACTGTGTGTTCCAAGATTTGTTTTAGTGCTTAGGCCAGGCAAACAGGTTTGAGTGGACTATAAAGCAAAAGTATTCTAGCTGTTATAGAGGAGGATTAGATTGGCTGGAATTACAGCAGGATATTATAATTAAGGGGTCCTAACCTTATAGAAATCTTTCCTATACTAGCTGGTCCCTTCATGTTGTGTTAGGTTTACTGGATGCAGGGAATTCATAGTTCAGTAAATTTCAAGAATTTTTACAGACTTCAAAAACAATGAAAAGGACCATTTGATTTCTTGTGGCATAGTACTTAGGAGTTTAAAATGTTTTAGTGTGGTTTGTTGGTTGGTTGGGGGTTTTCTATCTTTTGCCATCACCAGAGGAAACTTATCATTAATTGTAGCATTAAATTAGGATATGTCTTCCAAAATGCTCCATAATTTTAGATATTTATTCATTTAAATATTATTTCCTACACTATCTATTCTAACATAAGTCTGGCTGGTTTTGCTTGGGCTTATTTTTTCATTATTCCTCTCTATTGAAAGAATTTTCCTTACTGTATTTGTTAATTTTGTCCTTTTCAAAAACTGACCAATCATGCTGACTTACAGATGTCAGTATGTCTCCAATGGATCTTTTTCCAACATAATCCAAACTTTTTAAACATACATAAAATACTAACAACATTTCATTTAGTATCCACTTTAAGCTGACTTTAATGGGCTTGTGGAGTTCTGTCTCACAGTAAGGTAGTAGGAAACTTTGAGATAAAATAGATGAGGTTAGCAAATATGCCATAAAACATAGTAAACAAAATTGAACAGCAAAATTTAAAACCCAAATAGAAAAACTCCAACTGTGTCAATGTGAAAAGATCATATTTGTCATTTTTGTATTTTCCCAGGGCAGATGTCAGGTTAAAAGAATTTTGCTCTATTCTAGCTCTGGAAATGAATCACCTCAGTTTTTCCATTAGACTGTGTATAACTGAGCTTTTGTTTATTGTATATTATCATTTATAAAACAGGTGCTCTAAACTATGCTTTTGATAGCTTTGCACTGTAAAATTCAATGGAAGAGGAAATATTTTATCTGCCTCTCACTGGTTTTCTGTAAATATCTGCACTGTTTACATATGTACACAGTGTGGTCACAAGATCCATTGTAACTGCAAGATTGGGCTAGATTATGAGGTTGTCTGGCAAGATTCTACTGGTCATGATATACACTGGAGTCAATTATCCCACAGTCAGAATATGCAAACTACGGTGGGGTCCAAAAGAGAGATAAAGAAGGGGGAAGTGGTCTTGGCAGTCAATCTTCTGGTATCATGGAAAGAAAAAAACAGAAGTTGATGGAGGATGGGTAGCCAGTGAGGAACTGAAGGAAGTTTTTTAAAGTCTCACACTTCATCAAGGCCACAGAAAGGATAATGAATCTCAGATGGCACGCAACCCCTCAAAGGGAGAAGAGCTTGGGTAACAGAAAACTCATCAAATTAATAACTGACTAGAGAGGCATCAATGTAGCTCAAATCAGCATGCCATGAATAAACTGAAACGGTGACTACAAGCATCTAGAAATGACTTTTTTTTCAGCTGCTTACATATGGATTGAATGCAATGAGCAGGAAGAACTGGAAATTCTCATTGACTAAAAGTTTCACAAGTGAAATCTGATGAGGTAGTTCATATAATTGGAATACTGAAACTACCTGTTAAAACCTACTTGAGAGGGACAGAGTAGATGGGGGGAGATGCTGTGAAAGAGCTGTTGGTAGCCCAGAATCAAAAGATATTGAACACAAGAGACAAGTCTCTGTTCTCTGAAGTCTGTGACTGAGAGGTTCGCAAGTGTCTGTCTTCTGGGCTTTTCTGTAATGTGCGTGGGGGTGGGGAAAAGATGGGGTGTGGGGAAAAGTAAGATCAGTGTGGAGAATTTCAGTTTGGAATCTTGAATAAAAGAGATTCAAACACTGCTACAAGATACTCAGAAATCTTGTGGAATCTCTGTCCCCAAGAGGGATAAAAAAAACCCAAGAGGTTTAAAACCCAAGTGGGCATGGCCCTGGGAAAACTGCTCTTGATGATGCTGCTTTCACCAGGCTGATTGGATGAGATGATCTTAATAAATGCCTTATGACCTCAACTACCATGAGATTCTGTGAAAATCAATGAATTACAGAGTTCAAAATTACTAATAATGTGGTAGAAAAAGTGACAGAATGGATCTTGTACAGGATAACTAAGAAAACAATGAGCTACGACTTCAAACCTGGAAATAGTACATTAAAATGTACCTATGGCTGCATTTTTGGTAGATATTGGAAAGTATTAATATCACTTTACACATATACCTCAGTTTCAGTTCTCTCTTAAAAGGATGAGTTAGCCAATGTACAAAATACAAAACAGGCTTGTAACTAGTAGAAAGGACTCCTGAAAAACTTTCAGGGGAATGACAGGAAAATATTCTAACTTTTTAAAAATTATTCTCTATAATTTTGTGGATTATGGGTGGTGGTTTTCAGTAATAACATGGGATGGTCCTCAAGACCTTGGAAGTTAAATACATAATTTCTAAAGAACTATGATACAAAACACATTATAACCAGGAAAAAGGTATTTTCACTTTTGGTATTGGAATGATGAGTAAAAACTTCTTAATTGTGGGAATGGTTTGTGAATTTCTTATTTTTGACTTAAACTTGTTTATTGCTGCTTATTGTGGGTAAGCTTTTTTACATACATACAGGTAAGCATGGAAAAGGCATGCTTAGATTTTTGAAAGAACTGTTTTCACAAAGTTGAGGATGAGCACAGTTTATTTGGAAAACACCATGGATGCAGAAATTAACTAATTACAACTAAGTATCATTTAGTATTTTTAAATTACTTAAGACTACAGTTTATTGGAATATTAAAATACTGTGTTTCTACAGCAAAGACAGAATAACTGTGGATAATTTGAGTCAGAAGGGGGATAAAATTTGCAATAGACTAAAAATAATACAAAATAGCAGTTGTGAAATGTGGACTGTTCTTATATAGAAAAACTAGAAGGGAACATTATTATAACAAAAATATTGGTTTTTATTTTGTGTAGACACAGAGATCATAAAATTGTTGAAAATCATGACAAAAAAACCTACAAAAGCTGTACTTCCAGTTTCACAACTTTGGGGATTGACAGCTTGAAGTGCAAAACCACGAGCTTAGGCACAAAGAATTTCTTAATCACAGTCACTATATTCACAAAAGAGTTCAGGAGTTACAAGCCTCTGAAAAAAAAAAACATTCTCTGAAAAGCTGATGTCCATCACTGACTTTACACTTTCTGTGCATTTTGCTGAAATTCCAGGCTGGGATGAGTTGCTTTGACACTTGCATATCCTCTTCCAAGCAATAAAAAGCCAATGTGATCTCAGCCCTCATCTAAGAATCCCTGCCCCCCCTGATGCCATAGGACCTAAATATTTTTCTTACTGCAATCATTCTAATTTACAAAGAATGTACACAGAGGTTCCATTACTCCAAACACAGTACAATTAAACAACAGGAGAGCATTTCCTTTCTCACAGTTCTATGCCAGCTTTCCAGACAGAATATCACTCAAAAAGCTCTCCCTGTTTCACTTCTGTCACGACTACACAGTTTTCCTGTTTTCGTTCTACTTGGTACTACCTCTTTGCTTGTTTTCTGACTCTTTCTCTTTTACAGATGCAGTACTACATGTCAATCAGGTACATCTCCTTGAATTTATAGTCAGTGTAATCATGGGGTGAAACCTTTTATTGTTTCATGAATTATAACAAGAAGGATCTTTGATTGTCTCCCTGAGTTTTCCTGTATTGGAAATATTTATTACTTTTGACCTCAAATAACTCTATGGTTGCCCATGTGTCAATAATGCTTGGTTAAAGTATCCTAAATTCACACACATTGCAAGATTAATAAGCAGACACTCAATACATTAAGAACTGGCTAACGCTCCAGTCTCAGATGTAGGGGTTTTTCAATAAGAGTTGAAGGATTTCAAATATGGATAATAAAAGCTAGGAATTAAAAGATGCTATTCAGATGCATTTCCATATGCCTTAGCAAATACCAAAACATTGTTGATATCTTACATTGCTGACACAGAGATTGGCAGAGTGGTACATAATGATGAAGAACCAGGAAGGTTTAAAGAAAAATTTGGATTGCTTGGCAAGCTGAACCCATTCATGTTAAATGCAAA